TGTCAACTCATCCGGATTCGGCAAGGGGATGAGTGGAAGACAGCATTTAACACACCATTGGGACATTTTGAGTATCTCCTTGTGCCCTTCGGCCTCACCAACACCCCAGCTGTCTTCCAACACCTCATCAATGACGTCCTCTGTGATATGATCAACCGCTTCGTCTTTGTGTATCTCGATGACGTCCTAATCTGCTCCCTGAACCAAGAGGAGCACACTCGTCATGTCCGTCTGGTGTTGGAGAGGCTGCTCCGCAAACGGCTGTTTGTTAGTCGGCTGAAATGTGAATTCCACAAAGACACTATCTTTCCTGAGATACATCATCTCCGTAGTAGAGGTGAGGATAGATCCGGGGAAGGTGTCCGCGGTAAGAGAATGGCTGGTTCTGGAGAACCATAAACAACTGCAATGCCTCTTTGGATTCGCCAACTTCTACAGAAGATTCATCCGTGACTACAGCAAGGTTGCAGCTCCATTAACGGCCCTCACCTCAGTGAAGAGGACTTTTGAGTAGAACCTGGAGGCTGAACGGGCTTTCCACCTTCTGAAGGACAGGTTCACCACCGCACCAATCCTGGTCCAGCCCGACCCCTCACTCCAGTTCATTGTCTAGATTGACACCTCAGACACACAAAACTCTGCATGACGAGTGCAAAGCCACATCTAAACGACATCCAATTCCAAAAAGTGCACGTGTTAAACGGGTCCAAACTTGGCTTGTAAAATGATTTTTTTATTATTGCTGCACAAAATCACCTTGTTCATTCTAGAAAGATTAACTCTTTACATGCAGACTGTTTTGAGACTTAAGATGCAAATTCGGTGTCAGTTTTTTCCAATTTTGTGCAGCCGTAGTTCTGATATTATTCTCTAATTCGGATACTTAATGAGTACTTCTATATTTTGTTTAAAATAACTACTAGTAACTGTGCTGCTGTATGACTTGAAAGATAAAACTTATAAAAGACTGAAGATTTGTGCTCATTTAAAGTCTACTTTTTAATATATCTCAGCTGTAGTCGAGACTTTCTGGCACAAAAATGTCCTTTAAGATTCATGAAGTTCTATTTTATATTAAACATTATAACACTGGTGTTTTTGTGACTTCGGTGCACTTTAATATTCATTAGTGTGTCTCTCACCTTTGAATAAGATGGCGGCGTTGTTGACGAGGACGTCCACTCCTCCGTACTTCTCTTTGAAGAAAGCGGCTGCAGCTATGATGCTGTTCACATCATTGATGTCCAGCTGGTGGAACTTTGGATTCAGTCCCTCCGAGGACAAAGACTTCACGGCCTCCTCACCTCGACCGCTGGAACAGGAACAAATCCTCACATTTACTTTCGTTCTATTTTTATAACGAAGCAGATCAGGCTTGCAGGGTTTTTCCAGTTATTACCGCTTTGTCTTTTGATCTTAAAAAACACATTTTGAGCCACTCGAAGAGATGAATAATCTGCCAGAGTTCTGATTTTTGTGCCTTTTCTAACAGGTTTTTAACTGGAAAAAGGCAAAAAGTGATGAAAAAAGCAACAAGTTTTTAAACACTAAACTCTTACAAACTAGAAAGACGTGTCCTTTCATTCATGAATATTACATTTTACCATAAACTTTAGATTTGAAACCAACTCTTTCAAGAGTATTTGTTCTACAAAATAGCACAAAACATTAAAAAACAAAGAGTTGAGATAAAATCGGGCACATTGCGACATGTTTCGATGCCTAAAAATCAAAATTCTCCAGATGTGAGGAAACATGCTTGTTTGATTCAGACTGCAGCAAAAATCACATCATTCTGATATTAAGTGGAAAACAAATGACCGCTAAAATCCTTACCCCATTTTAATATCTGTTAAAAAATAAAAAAAATAAATTCAACAGAGAATAAATTTCGGCTCCACAACCTTAGAAATCACCAGATGTGGAGAATAATGTACATTTAAAAAGAGAGACTTCACGAGGGGGCAAAAAATTATGATAAATGAGATAAATTTGCAAGAACTAATCAGAAGTATGAGTTTTTTTTTGAATGCTAAACTCTTAATAACTGGAAAAAGTCGTCCTTTTATTCATGAATATTACAGTTTACCATGAATTTAGGGTTTGAAGTCAAGTTTGAGGGTTTTGTTTAACAAAATAGCTCAAAACATGAAACAAATGAATGCACAGGCACCAAGCCGTGCACGCTGCGACATGTTCTGGTGCAGGTGTGACCAGGTGAGTCACCTACACGTCTCTGGACATCAGGTAAACGTCTCCCTTGAACTGCTTGCAGAGCGCTCGGACGATGGCCAATCCGATGCCCTTGTTGCTCCCGGTCACCACGGCAACCTTGATCGACATGTCTGCCAAAAAGAGAGAGAGAGAGAGAGAGAGAGGGGGGTCACTCCACATTAAACACACAAAGCAACCTTCAGACTTTATTAATCACCTCTATCCAAGTAAACTCTGATGTTATCAGGAAGGTGGATTTGGCTGAGTCATAATGACAATTTCAGTGAGAAATTTTCAAATATATTTGTCTAATAATACAGAAAAACGGGATTAATGCATCTAAAAACCCTGAAACAACATTTGTTAGTGACATAAGACACCAAAAGTAAAAATGTGAGCATTAAATCTGCTTTAAATTACAATCAATATACAAGATGTGAAAGGATTTCTATTTAAAATAACAATTTAATCATGAAAAAGAATGAACTACTGTGAACTTTCAGCTCTGTGATGCAAACCTGCTGGTCTTCAAGAATTTTGCAGGATCAGTTTTGAAGCTTGGACGTTAAATTAACCTTACATATGACAGATAAAGGGTAATTTAAAGAGTTAAATTGGCCTCTTTCTTATGCATTTAGCTTGAACGAGGTAAATGTATAATAAAATCCATAAAAAACTTCTATGTACTTCCAGCTCTGTTGTGACCTTTGATTCTGATGCAAACTTGCTGGTTTTGCATGAATTTTGCAGGTTAGTTTTGCAACCTGTTTTAGTTAAATTAGCCTTAAATATAACAGATGAAAGGTGATTTACAGACTTAAACCACCGGCTTTATGATGCATTTCGCTTTATCACGCGAACTTTTGCCTCCTGCTCCTTCTACGTTACATAACGCTGACTTTCAGTTTTCGTTATCTTCAGACGAAGCTGCTAAAACAGAAAAACACGAAGCGAACAAACGGTAAAAAAATGAAGTTTCTTACTTGGAGCTGCTGTTGTTCTGCCGAGAGAAGCTGTGGGGAAGAAGCTGCAGAGAAAAGTGGCAGAGCTGCAGGAGGAAATGAGCAGATATATGGAGGCTGAAGATCAGGAGACAGAGGAGAAGGGGAGCAGGCTGGGAGGAGTTGTGCGCAGGACCAGTGCGCATACCCGGAAAAACAAGCGGAACACATGGGTCAGGGAGCTGAACATGGAGCTGCGGTGGAAGATCAGGATCAGAGGCAGCTGAGGACAGTTTGTAGGTGTTTCATTTGGATTATATGAACAGTGCGTGTGTGTAGTTAGTGGGTAAAGTATAAATTGTGTGTTTTGGTGTTGTATTAAGAGAAGGAAAGGTTTGGTTGTATATTGCAGTTTTTCCTACTATTACATTCTATTATTGTCCATGTTTAAAACACTATTAACTGTGGAGCCTCAGTACTAGTTAGTAGATGCTTGAAAAGCTTTAGATTCTGCAGTTTAAAGCAAAGTGATATGAAACTAAACCTGCAGCGCTGAGCAAGTAAATCTTTGTTTTTTT